CATTGTTTCCGTTATTGTACTCTTATTATCCTGCATAGATTCTTACTGTAGGTTCTCAATTGCGCTGCTTATCTTATCCTGACATCTTTATTTTTTTTATAACCTCAGTAGGGACCCGACCTTCCTCGTCACTACCCAACCGAGGTTAGGCTTGGTACTTACTGAGTACCGCTGTGGTGTACTCATGCTACTCTTCTGCACACTTTTGTTGTGCAGATCCAGGTACATCTGAGCAGGCATACCGCCAGTAGCTGTCAGGGAGCATTATTGGAGACTTAAGGTATACATCTGCTACGTCCACAGATCCGCAAAGTCTCCTTCTCATTCCATCCCTAGTTGTTAGCTGTTATTTCGATTCCTCTCTTTGTATTAGACAAATTCTGGTGACTAGAGCAGTGTTAGACTTCTTGTAACCTGTGTTGCCCGTGGGATTCCGGGTTTTGGGATGTTACTTTCAGGAGTTGTGTATTCAGTGTATGTGCCAAGCGGCATCGTTATACACTTCCTTTTCTATTTAGTGTTTGTTTACTGTTTTTATTTCGAACTGTTAAATTCCGTAATGTGTTAAGCTTACCTAGTCGCTAAGACTGGGTGCCTTCATGACAGGCTCACAATTGGTGAACCAGGGTCGTGACAGAAATAAATCTCCCTAAGGCTGCAATTCTTTTTTACTTGTAAGCATGTCAGAGATTTCTTCAATGGCTTTAATCTGTGCGGGATTCACTTAAATATCACGGTTAGAAACAAGAAAACCCCAAAAATTACCTGATGCAATACCAAATGCACATTTCTCAGGATTTAGTTTCATATTGAATTTTCGCAAGATCTGAAACGTATCAGACAAGTGTGATATATGATCCCCTGAATGTTGAGTTTTAACGAGCATATCGTCTATATAAACCTCCATAATGTTTCCCAAATGTTCTTGAAACATTTTGGTCACTAGTCTTTGATATGTTGCACCAGCATTTTTGAGACCAAAAGGAATTACTTTATAACAGTAAGTCCTCCTGTCTGTTATAAATGAAGTTTTTTCTTCATCTATAGGATCCATTTTGATCTAGTTGTATCCTGAATACACATCTAAAAAGCTTAATAACTCGTGACATGCAGTAGCATCAATTAGTTGATTTATATATGGTAATTGAAAAGAATCTTTAGGACAAGCTTTGTTAAGGTCTGTGTAATCTACACAAACTCGTCATTTACCATTCTTTTTCGGTACCACAACAGTATTGGCTAACCATATAGGATACTTTACCTCGTGGATAGGCCCAATTTTCAGTAATTTTTGGACTTCATCTTAAATCACCTGATTTTTGAAAGTTCCTTGCTTTCTCTTCTTTTGTTTGACAGGTGGATATGATGGGTCTTTATTTAATTTGTGATTCATTACCTCCGGTGAAATTCCTGTCATATTAGAATGGGACCAAGCAAAACAATCCACGTGAGTTTTCAAAAATTCAATCAACTTACCTTTCATGTCTTGGCTTAGATTGGCCCCTACGTAGACTTTCCTTTCAGGCCATTGTGTAAATAACTCTACAGCCTCCAGTTCTTCAATCGTTGTTTTGATATTTTTGTTTTCCTCTAGTTCTTGAATGGAATCGGGCCTTGAGTCCACATCTGTTAGCCCTTGTACAATTGAGGCTTGTGTAACTGCTATTTTTCTTCGTTTTTCGTACTTGAATCTGCTATGGAGTTGATGCTCCTGGATGTTTGTTGATCCCCACGGATTTGACAGATTCTCCATGGTGATGGAAATTTAATAACTTGATATAAGGTAGACGGAACTACATTATCTCGTGGATCCATGGTCTCCCGAGAATCATATTGTAAGCCATCTCCATCTCTACCACCTGAAACTTTGTATCTTTGACAACTCCTTCTACGAATGTAGTAAGTATTACCTCCCCTTTCGTCACAACGCTGGAATTATCGAATCCAGACAAAGTATGCGCCTTTGGTACTAATTTATCTTCAGCTTGCATCTCGTGTAGTACTCTTAGCAAAATAATGTTCACAGAACTACCTGGATCAATCAAAACTTGTTTCACATTATTATCATGTACAAGTAGAGATATTACCAGTGCATCGTTATGTGGAGTTAATAATCCATCTGCAACTGCATCGTTAAACGTAATACTTTCTTCCTCTAAGACATGTCGAACCCGCTTCCCGTGGGTAATTGTGACCTTTGAAACTTTATTGGCTGTTGTGTACGTCACACCATTGATTTCTTTACCTATGCTTATAACATTAACGGTCCTTTTGAGAGAAGGCGGTTTAGGGGGCTCCTGCCTATTCTTCATGTATGCTTGCTTACCTTTCTCACTGAATAATTCGGTGAGATACCCTTGCTTTAATAGATGATCAACTTCACCTTGTAGCAACCTACAATCTGCCATTTTATGACCATGATCGTTGTGAAAGTCGCACCAGTGATCAGGATTATGCCTGTTTGGATTCGATCTCATTTCTTTTGGCCACTGCACCTTATCACCCATGCTTCTTAAAACAACTACGAGTTTGGAAGTGCTTACATTAAAATTATAACCGCCAAATCTTGCCTTTAAGTTTCTATCATCATCCCGCGACTCTTGCGTGTTTCGATCATTCCCAAATCTTAATGATGAGTCCGACTCTCTATTCCTCGATCTATGATCGTACCTTGAGTTGTCATGTTTTGAACGTGAATCATTTCCTACTGGGCCCATATATGGTTCGTATCTATTTTTACCGGACCTTTTTTCTATTTCCGCCCGTCTCGAACTCACCTTTTCCTCTTTTTGAGACCGTGAGATAATATCTTCTTCTATCCTTAGCTTCGTGCTATACCTGTTGTAAACGTCATTCCACGTTGTTGCTGGGAATTCACGAAAACTTTCCTTGAGTCGCCTCGTGGCTTCTGAACTTTTTTCATTCAAATTACTAGTGAAGGCTATCGTTGCCCAATTGTCTGGTACATGTGGTAACATCATTCTTTCACGCTGGAACCTATCCACGAACTCTCTAAGCAACTCTGAGTCCCCTTGCTTGATTTTGAAAATATCTTCCATTCTTTTTTCGACTTTTTGAGCTCCCGAATGTGCTTTGATAAATCAATCTGCAAGCTTAGCAAAAGAATTTATGAAATTTTTAGGTAAAAGAGAATACCATGTTAATGCTCCCTTAGTGAGTGTTTCACCGAATATTTTGATCAGTACTGATTCAATTTCTTGTTTGGTCAAGTCGTTGCCTTTTACGCCTGTTGTGAATTCAGTCATGTGGTCTCGTGGATCAGTTGTTCCATCGTATTTTGGAATATCGGGCATTTTGAATTTCTTTGGAATTGAGATGGGAGAAACACTTGGCTTCCAAGGTTATTGTGAATATTTATCCATATCTATCCCTTTGATTACGGGTGGTACTCCAAGTATTTGCTCTATGTGGTCACTTTGCTCCTTGAGCTATTTCTGCAATGTTAATACTAAATTTTAAATCAGAATTGACTAAGTACCCAGTTCTCCATCTAGTGACTCGCTAGGGATTCCACCACTGCCTGAATTAGCAAGCACAGAATGAGGGCTCTCTAAAGTATTTTTATTTGGAGTTGGTGTTGGTGGTGCAACTGGTAACTGGCTGACAAAGGCCTCAAGAGCTTTATTGACATATTGAGCGATTAGCTTTTACAAAGCTTCTGATAGCTTCATCGTTTTCAAATTGAGCATTTGCATTTGAATGAGATCCATCAGGAGTGCCTTCTCGAGACCGCCGAGGGGAGCTTTGCGGAGAAGGGATCGGGGTGCGATCATCCTGTGGATTCCCCTGGAGTTGATGGTTTCCCTGGTTTCCTTGGGTGTTGTCATTAATGTTTGACATGGTTGATGCAACAAAAAAGGTTAGGCTAAGAAAGAATAGATTATCAGATTCTCAGTAACAGAACCTATTTGTTTAACCAAGAAGTGGAATTTTGGTCAAAGCTTTATTTTAGAAGAACTCGGGTTACTGATAATCAAAAATGAATGATGGAAATTGATTTTGCTAACAATAAGATGAAAAAAAAGAAAACAAGATAAATCAGTATATTTCGATGATATTTCGTGTGTTTACAAATCAATCTTCTCCTTTTTATAGTTATTTCTAAGTTATACGTTTTGCCTTTGTCATAATAATAATTAAAGGCATTTAATGATACGTTACAATGGTAATCATTGTAATTCAACACAGATTCTCTAACATTTTCAGTATTTAATGCTTATTAAATATTATATATGTACTCTCTTGTGCTATCACATTCATTCTCCTTAATTTTTGGATTTAAATAGGTACGAGCGTCGAGTCTTTTGAATATCTGCTCGTGCCTCTGCTTGTGCCTCTGCTCGTATCTATTGTGACTCGTGCCTCTTTGCTAATCATCATTCTTTGACCAACTTTCGTGTCATGACACGTCATCTTTCAATCACTTCAATCTATATAAACTCAAATTTTCCCAATACATTGTACACGGGCTGTAGCCCGGTTACCGTTAGAATTTTTTTTAATTAATTGGACCGTTCCCAACGGTCAAATTGAGAAATGACCGTTGGGGAACGGCCAGATTTTGCAAAAATGGCCATCCCCCCCCCATTTAAAATATAGCCCTCCCACCCCTAATAATTGAAAAATTACATTTTTAACCTTTTAAAATCTATAAATAGCCCCCCTTCTTCTTCATTTTTTTTTCATAATTCACTCTCTTACTACTCTAATTCTCTCTCAATTCTCTCTTGATATTATAGTTCTTAAATTCTCAATTATTTATTATTTCAAGTTTCATCAATTATTTAGTTTAGCCATTACAAAATTATTTTTTTTGGTAATTATCATATTTTATTACCAAGGAACGAAATTACAGAGCAAAAAAACAAACACTAATTCTTGACATCTTCCCAGAATTAGTTTCTCCTATACTTCTATTTTTCTACCTACTAACTATGAGCTAACAATTGCGTTTAAGGGTAGAAATTTAACTCTTCTAATTTTCTTCTCAATCTTGACAATGTATATCCCCTTCCACAAACCATTTGTATAATCTGCTTCATCAGTACTCCTGCTAGTCTCAGTTGAGTTCTGAAAATTCTATAATTCCTCTCCTGCCATACATAATAGACACAGCTTGCTAATGCTATTCTGTAGATCTCTGCATTTGCTGATCTGCCTCGAACGTTGTTGCATGTCCATTCTATTTCTTGACTCCATTCCATCGGTCGTCTGTTAACATTCATCCACTGCAGTAGTTTCTCCCATATTGCTGCTGTGTATGTACACTTGAAAAATAAGTGTTCCATGCTTTCCTCTTCTTCGTTGTACATAGGACATAGTAGATCATTTGTTATTCCCCATCTTTCTAATCTATCTCTTGTAGCCAGTTTTCCCATTATTGCCACATACAAAATAAAAATCCACTTTGGCATACCTCCATTGTTACATATCAGCTTCCTCCAAGGCATCTTCTGGTGATCCTGCTTTAACATCTTGTATATGTAGTTGATGGTTATGTTCTTCTTGTCAAGTATCTCATCCAAGTTTTCCCCAGCATCAGTCATGTATTGTTTTGCCTTCAAGATCTTCTGTACCAACCATAAAGCTTGCTTAGTTTCTATGTGTTTTACAGGCTTTCCTTTTCCATAATAAGTATGAATCCATACTACCCAGAGTTTATCCTTTTTTTGAGCTACGTTCCATAACAGCTTACATATTGCAGCTTTATTCCACAACTCAACATTTAGCAGATTCCAACCCCCACTTGCTTTTGGTTGACATAGTTTATCCCATGCCACTAGAGCTTTTTTTGTCACCTCAACTCTCCCAGACCATAGGAATTTCTTGCATATGGCTTCAATGAGATGAATTACCTTTTTAGGGAATACAAATATTTGAGACCAGTATATTTGGATAGATAGCAGCACACTTTTTATTAACTGTATTCTGCCAGCATATGAGAAAAATTTGGCAGTCCAAGATGTTATTCTATCAAGCATCCCGGCCAACAATGGCTGGAATTGAATAACTGACATCCTTTTTGTGCTCAGTGGGACTCTTAGGTACCTTATAGACAACTCTCCTTTTGAAAACCCCAAATCATCCACGACCTTTTGCTGCATTGTTGGATTTACACCACCAAAATATATGGAACTCTTACTCTTATTTGCAGTTAGACCTGACACCTTTGAGAATTCCATAAAGCAGTTATATAACATGCGGATGGAAACTTCATTACCCCTACAGAATAGCAATAGATCATCAACAAATCTCAGCTGAATAATTTGCAGCTTTTCACATCGTGGATGATAGTTAAAATCTGGCTGGTTCTTCAGTGTTCTGAGTAACCTGCTGAGATAGTCCATAGCTATGACAAACAAATAAGGAAACAATGGATCCCCTTGTCTAAGACCCTTCCTAGCTAGAAAAGGACAACTTGGACTCCCATTAATCAGAATATAATATGAGACAGTAGAGAGACAGTTCATGATCCATTCCATAAATCTGCCAGGGAAGTTCATTGCTATCAATATCTGCTTTAAGAAACCCCATTCCAGAGAATCATATGCCTTTTGCATATCTAGCTTGATCATACACCTTGGAGTAATGCCCTTCCTTCCATAGCCCTTCACCAATTCATGACTTAGGATGATGTTATCAAAGATGACTCTGCCTGGTACAAAGGAAGCCCGACTTATGTCTATGAGATTCTCCATAATCTTTTGCAATATTGTAGTGATCACCTTTGATATTATCTTGTATAAGACAGTACAACAAGATATAGGCTATATTCCTTGATTGAACTAGGATTTTTAAATTTTGGAATCAATGTCACAGCAGTGCAGTTTATAGGCTTGTAGATCTCTCCAGTGTCAAAGAACTGCTTTGTTGCTTTGATTATTTCTTCTCCTACAACTGTCTATGCTTTCTTAAACAAACAAGCATTGAAACCATCATAGCCTGGGGCTTTGTTATCATCTATGTTGTTCACAACATTACATATCTCATCTGTGGTGATTGGTTCTATTAGCTTCAGCTGCTGTTCTCTTGTCAGTATTGCTCCATTCTTCATTATTGTTGGATTAATCACTGGCATTTATTCTGCTGCATCTCCTAGTAACTTCTTGTAGAACCCTACAATTTCTTGTTGCACCTCTTGATCATTCTGTAATAGCTTTCCATACTGATCAACAAGGGATTTGATATGGTTCATAGAAGTCCTATTTTTCAAACATGCATAGAAGTAAGCACTATTTGAGTCCCCCGGTTTCAACCATTTTGATCTAGACTTCTGCCTCATTATGCTCTCATCTATCATTGCCCATTTCTCCAATTTGCCTCTTAGTTCCTTCTCTATATCAGCCAAACCTATTTGATAGTTTGGATCATGCATTTGTTCTTGTGTCTCCTGAAGTTGTCTCCTTATTAATTGAACTGTCTCTCTAACATTTTTAAATTCTACTGTGTGCATCTT